TGTCATTATATATGCAGAAACTCTAATCTGTGACTTTCGTCATGATGCTGAATTGATAATTCCTGGGTGTTGTCAACCCTTGCTTATCCGTCGTGACTATGCCAGCCGTCCACATGGTAATGTCTGCCTAGACGGTTCAGTCCTCACTTCTTGCGATGAACTGAAACTTGTGGGAATCACGTTTGACCAAAAATTAGCTCTTGAGCATTATACTCTGTCTCTCGTTAGCTCATCTTCTCGCACTTGGGTTAATGAGGAAGGTATACACTATTTTTAATGATTTTTCCTTCTCTGGTAGGTATTTCAACTGTTTTTTCCTTCCACACCTAGAGTACTGCGCTCCAGTGTGGTCATCCGTTGCGGCCTCCCATATCCGTCTAGTTGACGATGTTCTCAATACAGGACAGTTTCTCTGTGACGGCAATCCTCTGTGTGACCTACGTCATCGTCGCAATGTTAGCAAAGTATGCATGCTGTATACAATCCGCTCTAATCCAAGTCATCCACTATACTCTTGTGTCCCGGGGCAGCATGTTCCTGCAAGAAATACTCGTCTGGCTCCGTCTTTGCACCCACTTACGTTGCAGGCAGTGAAGTGTCATACTAGACACTTTCATTTTATGAACAAAGATTGGTTTTGTTCACGTGCTTGTTCTTCTAGTTGTCTAGCAGAAAAGATTATATCGATCGTACCTCTTCCAGCACGGAAACCACGCTGAGAGTCTGGCAGGACTGCTTCTGAGAGCTCGGTCAAACGGTTGAGAATAATCCTAGCGAGGATTTCTCCTGGAGTCGAGAGAAGAGAGATCCCCCGATTGTTCCAACATTTTATGCTGTCTCCTTTCTTGAAGATGGTAATGACGACTGAATCCTTTAGGTCTTCAGGGACCTGCTCAGTTTCCTAGATCGTGGTCATCAGTTTAAGCATTTCTACTGGTTTCATCAGTCATGATAGGTTGATTGTCCACAGCTTTCAGCTGATGAGTTGAGTTGCGGGTGGAACCGTATATCTTCTTGGCTGCGACATAAAAAGCACGTATGTGATGACAGTCGGCATGGAATTGGATTTCCTGAGCTTTTGCTTTCCAACAAGAGTTTTGGATCTCATAAATTTTGCCTTTCACTTCAGCTTTCAAACGTCGAAGGTTTTCCCTCTTTACTGTTGAAGATGGACTGGTGCGCCGTACCCCAAGTGCCTTTCTCTTCTCGCCGATCAAGGCGACGATTTCTTCGTGTTTACGTCGAACCAGTCTTCATGTTGCTTCACCTTGACACCAATCTCAAGAGAGCAAGCTTCAAGCAGGGCATCTACCTCTTACCGCCCACTTTTAGATTCCAGTCTAGAGACTTCCGGTGTCATCTTCCCCTGTTGGTGTCATCTTCGCCACGTGGTGAGGTTTGTTTGAAGTGGTGATGTGGCAGCACCCTTAACATCCACACATCGTTTGTCTTTGGTCCGCTGGGTCAATGACAAAGTTGAACTAATACAATGGAGCAGAGCCAAAGACTGCAATGAGCTGCCAACCTCCAAGTGTGTTAGGAACTGCCTTTAGGCCATCCCATCTGGCCTCTATAACGCATTGCTGTGGGTTTGGAATCAGAGTTTTCTGTCTCCTAGGTGGTCTGCCTCTCATGTCCGTTGAGCCCCATCTATACAAGTGACAACTGCATCAAATCACCGGTTACCCAGTATCTTGTACCTGTTCCATTGTCCCGTTGTGATGGTAGTAATAAAATACCTATGCCTCGTATCCTGCTAACTAATGTTAGATCATTGATCAACAAAATTGATGATTTAACTGTTGGGCCAAAAAAATAAAAACGGTGGGTAAAATGGTACTAGTACAAATAACATTTTCTACAACCGGTGAGTCAAATGAGACAAGTTTGCCCATATTTTGGGGAAAATCCAAGCGGTTGAGCAATCTGTTTTCCCAAAAGTTAGGTGATTTACCTGATGTCCAGCGTTTTTACAGTATAATAAGACGCAATACATAGGTGCTGTCATTCCACAGGCTTTAAATTCCACATCCAGCAAGCCAAGCTATCTAAAGTTCTACCCACAATGTCAGATACTACGGGGTCCCGCATTTTGGGGATCGTAATAATTTCTACGTTTCACGCTCTCGGTTAAGTGGCAACTCATGATGCGACAATTTAATTATCGAATCTAGGTTCACGTGGAGTGATCGGAATTTTGGACTAATTATGTCACACTTAACAGATTCAGTTGCGGGTCTCACCCTTCCTAACATAGCTACTCAGATGTCAGCGATCTCGCCTGTGTGGATCCGGTATAGAAAATATCCTCTCGAATTAAACGGACACTGGAGCCAACCGGAAACAAAACAAACAACAGATTGGCTTGACGAGCGCTGATCGCTGTTTATTACGTGCTTGCTGAGCAAATAGCCATAGTCTCTGCCAAGGTCATTGAATGGGTACGCTGCCAATTTTTATTCCAATTTTTCTAGACGTACGTCCGTTTTTCAGTGTGTAAATGGCTCCGTGAAATGAGAACAAGGTTGCCGACGAAATAAGCAAATTCCGAGATTTTGATGACTTGGGCCAAGGATGACGCGTCCCTTAAAGCATTACACTAATGTTCGGTTGTTCTGCTTCACCACGTAATACTACATTCACTTTCGTTTTAATGCATGGCTTTAGGCCTGCTTTATCAGGATTGAGCAAATGAAAACAATTATTTCTGTCATCCAGAACAGAGGGTTTGCATGGCTGACATCTTGCAGGCCAATGTTTTTGTTCCACAGGTTATGCACAAAGGACGTTTCCCTATAGAACACAAAAACTGCCCTGCAAAATGGCTACCATGTAAAGCGTGCAATATGGCACTGAACTTCTTGGCCGGACTCGGGGCTTCCAATTCTGAGCAATTTGGATGCAATTGGGTCCGAAAGTGGCACTATTTTAGCCATTTTGCAGAGGGATAAATTTTCAAAATGGCTTTTTTCCGGGGCAGTGAAATTTCGTTTTAGGGGTGGTCTGCTTTAGGTGAGAATTTCTCAAAACGTCATTGGTCAACCCACTAAAATTTGAAAGGACAATGAAAGAGGACTCGTGGAACATCATTTTTCTGTGCAGCCTGAACACCTGTGACAGTTGTGAGTATTTTTAAAATATTCTTGAAGTATGGGGATTTATCATTGCTGTCTATCGGAATTTATTTGTAGTGGTGCACCCCTGTGCCTCATTTTCCGGGCCAAATGCAAATATGTCAGCAAAGCGACTAGCACACTTGTACTGCCACATTGACCTACAGCCTCCTTTTGGCCAATCCTGTGTCTCAATGGTGTACATTTCGTTGCCAGAGTGGTAGACTTGAGACTAAAGTATGTTTTATTTAACTCGCCATCCTTGGGATCTTCCTTCCTGCTCTTCAAACACCCAACATTTTCTTTCCTATTCCTACTACCTGATTTCGCTTAAGGGTTCTGAAGATTTGCTGCGTGAGAACAAGGTTGCTTTGACGAGCATTTTGTTCAAAACTATATAAGTTACCAAACTAATAACAATCCCCCATTCCCCTAACACCGAGAAAGGGTAAAGTATGTTTCGGTAGGATTCGGCTTTTATAGCCAGTCCTGATTTGAAGCCCTGTAGAAGCCTTTTTTTTTCTAACCAAGAGAATAGTTTCGCAGGATTTTCAGACCGTGTCCGAATTACTTAGCTGCGACTAGAAATAACAAACGAGTCTATGGTAGTGGCCGTTGCCAGTTCCTATTAAGTTGTGTGTAAATTCAAGCTGCAGCCATGTGGTTCAGACACAGCTTAATTCGGCTTTTTCTATTTTCTTTAGCGATTTTTATGGGTAAGGGTGATGCAACCAATTTGGCCATTCCAATTTGTGCTCTTAATGTCTGTGATTACATAGAATTTTTCACTGGGGAGATTTATAAAAGAATTCTTTTTAAAGAAAAAAATGCATAAAGATAAGTAAGCTGGTGCCAGATATGAAAGCCATTTCTGCGGTGACGTCACTATATTGCATAGATGATACACGCGCGTCCTGCATCTGCAACCAACAGGGGACCGGTGTCGTGAAGACCTCTTTCCTGTATTATACCTATTTTTGTCCGTTTCGAATCTGCATCCAGTTAAAATCGTCAACACTTGCGCCAAGCGTTGCGTATCTGTCAAATCACTCATAGGGCGATTTTGACAGCCAAACGCAACCCACAGGTGTGTTATGTTAATGCAGTCGATTTCTGTGTCCGCAAAAGTGAAACGCATGAACGCATAGTGTACGCAACGCACCCCAAAAAGTACATATGGGAAAGAGCCTTGGAGCATTCCGTTCCTGTACGATTTCAAGGAAAACGTTCGGCAGATTACACATCGGAAGGTGCACATGTTAAAACGCCCCAAGGTGCTTTTTATGTGTACGTTTTTGAGGTTCTATTATGATAACTCACGTATGCGTTGCTTTTAGCCGTCAAAATCGACCTGAGAGCTATTTTGACAGATATGCTACGCTTGGCGCAAGTGTTGACACACATATGGATAGGCGCCTTTAATTTGCTGAAATTACCGCATAAAACGCGCCTGAGAGTGGTACCTGCGATGTCATTACTATCATGGTGTCTCCTGAGATTCATTTGGTCTAGTTGAGTTTCTCCTACCATGTCGAGTGCATTTAATAGGATTCCTGCTACCACGGTATCCATGGAAACACAACTGATTCAAATGTTGCTGCATCGCAATGTCTTCTATTTTAAGCCTTATGCCCCATTTTGCCATAATATTAAAATTCAACACGCTGCATACCGCATTTCGTCACCTCCAAGTGACATCACGATTCAAGAAAACGGTCAGAGTCCAAACCACTTTTTCAAAAACAACAAAACGAATTTTAAATTGTGTTACATTTGAGAAATTTAATTTCAAAGACCTAAAGGCTATTCACGCAGTTGCCAAAACAAACAGGCAACACAGAACAAAACCACAATGATTAATAAACACTGTTGCAAAATATGTCTTACCTTGTATTTCTAAGGTCACGGTAACGGCTAATCCAGCGAGAACGATGAGTAAAAACTGCAACATCCCCAGCATCTGGAAAGGAAGTTTTCAACATTAAAGAACTAAAAATATCCAAAAATCAAAACTGAAATATCGCATACCTGAACATCATAAAGGAAAATGAACTATAGTTTAAAAACGTTCTTGCAAACATTATTCAAGGGATCCCAACACAGAGGTTTTATACATTATTTTTGTTTATTTATTTTAATTTTGTAGTTATCCTGGGAACAAAACTTCATTTCTTTTTCTAATCACGCTGACACAAAGGAAACTTTTATTGCTGATTAATTGTAAAGTACAGTTCAGACTTCAAGCCGGCCATAAATAGAGCATCCTTTCCCTTCGATGACGAGAGTGGAGCAACACCAGAGCCTAGTTCCGAATCAAAATAGAGCCAACAAATATTTTCCACTTACTTTGAACTGATCTATCTAGTTGGTATAATCATGCACACAAGCAAGCTACGCCGACTTGCAGGTAAATGGCATAGCCTTGTTTTCATTGGAAAGTACCGTCCAGTGACGCTTTAACGTAGCAGACTGCAGTTGCGTCCAGCATCCGCCAATAATGTACCGTGTTCATTCACATTGTAATACCGCTTTGAAATTACTATCCCTTCATTTCACGTAGTCACGCAATTTCATTTCGCGCGAAAGAACAAGGTACAATCAATATTCTAGAGACTGTAAAGATATTGGCACGTAGTAATAACGTGTCCACAGTGAAGCAGTTGCTAATGTTGCCTTCTCGTAAAGCGCCCTTATGAATAGATTCTTCTTGAAGGCTTTTCCCCTAAAGCTTCCGTAATTTATTGGAACATGGCTGACACAATCACAACAGATTTTTACCAGAGCAAACTTCCATATCGTATTTTCAGGAGGGTAAATGACGATTGTTGCGAATTTCGTTGCGTCTACTTTCAAAATGGAGTTTTTCAAAAACCGGTTGAGGTTTTTATGTTCCATCCAATCGTCAGATTTTGTAGAAAAAAAACTGAATTCCGCATCTGGAATGGATAAATTTGGAAGGAATAATGGTTGAGGTGTAGGCAGCAGTGAATTACCGAAAAGCAAGTCAAGTCAGGGTGTCAGCTCAACTTTTAAAGGTGATTAATATATGAATAAATTTTATTTCCATTTTTTCACTAAAAATTTAAGATTGTGGCCAGAAGATCACTTTTTGTTGCCTTTCCCCAAAGATACTCCTAAAATAGTAGTAAGACTATGCGCTCAACTCTGAGGCTAACCGCCCTCCTCTATCCAAAATAGAGACGCAATTTTAGGCCTTTATTCACGACAAGTATCCGGACCTGGAAACTACTAGTCCAAATTTCGGGATTTATAGAAATATTTCTTTGATCTCTCCTGATTATGGCATGTCTTATTGTAAAAAAAACCGAGGGATCACAAATTACTAATGAGCTTGCGCGCAGAATTCCAAGCATTTGGTGAAATGCGTCCGACTGTGCTTCTCCCACATTAATTTGAAATAGCGCCCTCAAGTTGTGTGTTACACATTACATGAGCGTCTAGTCTTGTGTGTGTAATATTCAGGAACTAAAGAGTAAAACTGCATGTTTTGTAATTTTATGATCACTTTGACATTATTCTTGCATGTCAGTCGTGTTCGTCGAATTCACCTTTTTTGGGGGAGGGGCCTGGTTTTATGCCCTCGTCCCCCAGGAGGCGTTACTGAACTACCCATACAAACCTGTTTGGAATAACAGGTACATTTTGGAAGTATTGAGTTTGAAAAGGGGGCTACTTGACTATGCCATTTTTGTAACTCCGAATTCCGATAATAAAATCATGGCCAGTGAGGCACGGATTAATGAAATTACAACATTAAGTTTCAGTCAGCCTGATCAAAATTAAGTCTAACGTTGGTTACCGTATGAGTGGGGGGGGGGCAGGATGGCCTAGGCGCCTTTTCAGGCGACAATGGGGTAAAACCCAAAGCTAATACTGATTTGACATCCATTGCAATCTCCATGACGTTGTCTGTTAATGAAATTCCAGCTACTTGGGATTGTTGCTTTCTTCGTTTTCATTTCATAATTTTCCTGTTTGTATTTTTGGGGTAGATCTGTCTGACTAGATCAAACATTCACATTCAAAAAAGGAGCGGCAGATGCAACGCATTTGTGGCAATTTTCGGGGTAACCCAAGAACATATGGGACGTAGTTTTTGTGAGAATTGTTCTTTGAAAATATCAAACTACTCTACAGTTGAAAGCCGACAAAACTTGCTGTTATTACAAATGAAAATGTATTTCCATCATTAAAATAGAAAGGCAAGTGCCGCCCGACTGTGCCACCCCTGGATCTCTTACTATTGAATCTCCGATAATAAACATTATACGCCTGAGAGCTTTTATTACTGAGATCACTGAGAAGAAATGCACCCAAGACAGTTGGGATCGGTTTCACTGTCCAAAAAATAGGAAATGAATGAAAATAAATCATCATCAACCCTGTAGCCCACTGTATTCAAACCTAGCAAATTTCCTTGTGGGTTCTGCGCCCATGGACATGAAAAAAAAATGTGGTGAGGGAAAAATCCAAAAGTTATGCGGTGTTGACCAAGCATTCAGGCGCACGGACTCCTGAAATTCGCTACGAATCGCAGTTACCGGCTTCCATATAGGACTCTTCTGGGATCTCGGGGTTCCCGGCCCAACGCACTTCCTCCCTGCCCATCCATTTAACCCCCAA